GTGATGAAAGCTAACATACATGCATCGAGTACTTACTAGGTGCCAAGCACTGTTTTTGGTGCATTACATTCTATGAGGTAAGCCCCAGTAATCCCTTGTTTACAGTGAGGTTGAGCAATGGGTTCAAAGCAACACATCTAGTAAGAGGTGGCACTGGAGTGTGAATCTACCTGGTCTGGTTCTAGAGCTCACCTTTAGCCATTCTGCTAATCTCACAGGCATAGCTGCATCATCACACAAACATCGATTTTCTTGAAAGCAAGTAAAAATTAATTTTATTTGTATATATATTTTGAATTTCTTTTCAGAAATAACATCTATGTAAATCATTTAGCATAGTGACTGACCCATATAGTAAGTACTTTTAGTAAATATTGGTAATTTGTAGCTTTAGCAAATGGACTCTTGTAATGTCCATAGCGTTGGTCGGCAATTAAGAAGAAAATTAAGAGAAAACTAAGAGTCACTTATTTTACACGGTACTTTGTCTCTAGCATCTGTTCAAAATGTCTAAATAAAACCAAGATATTTTGATTTGGGTTTTTTTTTTTAATTCTTACCTAACAGATGCTGTAATTTTTATCTTGCCACCAGGTGGCAGCATGTTACATAAAAATGTTACTGTTGTAAACAATTTATTTCAGTATTTTACCTTAAAAACTATTAATAAAAATAAAATTTTATTCCATGTTCCCCTTTGCCTCTGTTCTCACTCGTCAGCTGTGAAGGCCTTCTTAGCACATTGTCCGTGGCCTAAAGTAGACTCGCCGTGGCCCTGCCCTGTCCACCAGTGCGGGACATTTATTTTCGTCCAACAGGGATGTAAGCCCTTGTGTTTTGATTCTCTCCGCTAAATTGTTTATTCAGCAGCAGTAGGAACTATATCCTCCTCTTTCCTGTATCTTCCGTAGTACCGAGAGAAGTGTTGAATCTGTGGTAATGATTTAATAGGTGCCCTTGAGTAAATGACGAATAGTATACGTAGAATACACATCAGCTTGTATGTTTGCCGAATATTTATTTGAATCATAATGCATTTATAGTTCTGTGTCGTTACATTTATTTTAATTTGTGCTATAGAAGTCCTTGAAAATTTACTTAAGTTTAGATATTCAGGACCATTTAGATAACTACTGCCAGGGGTTGAAAGATTAGTGTCTGAGGTGGAAGGCAATTAATAGCTAATGAAGGTAAAGGACTGAATGTGGCAGTTAATCAAAGTAGGGCAAAGGGGGAGAGCTAATGGTAAAATGAAGAGTCAGGCTTCTGATAGTGGAGCGGAGCTCTGTGTGGGAAAGCGAGAGGCTCACCAAATCAAGTTAGTTGCAGGGAAATCTGTTTATACTTCATGATCATGGATCTACCCATATACTGTTTGTTCCCCGGGGCTGATAATGCAACCCTTTGTTATCAGTTTCTTGGCAAATATTTTTTTCCTATTCTGTAATCTATTAATATTTGAATTGACTGTGAAATGTGGAAGATATTTGAATATGAATATATATATATATATCTTGTGGTTCTAACATATATGTGACAAAACCTGCATTATTTTTAAGATGTCCCATTTTAGAAGTATTGCATTAACTAATGTAAATTTTTCTTTAAGTATGCCATCAGCTAGCTTCTTTTTTCTGATATTAAGGAAATAATTATTCCATATAGATTAATTTCCCAGGTTAAAAAATCTTACCCTGGTAAATATATCAAAACGTGTAAGAATAGTGATGAAAGGTTTCAAAAACACATTCTTTTTCTTCTGTTAAACGGCAAATACTGAGCCTCTGTCTCCTGTACAACTTGAACCGTCATCGGTAACACTTGCACACTGGACCGGAAGCTGTCTGTGCAGTTCTGTGCAGCTGTCTGCTGCGGCAGCCGGCGCTGGTTCCCTTAGTGCCTCGTCCCAAATGCTGCACATGCCCCTCCCACTTCCCGCTCAAAGACACACCCCTCATACCTGCTGTCTTCCTCCTTCCCCCTCCTCAGAATTTGCTCCTATAGCCTGAAAATAGAAAAAGTAAAACTGGTTAAAATTATGTCTAAAATGGGAAGAATTTCCAGTTAAGACTGTCCTATTAAAACCTTTGTAGTATCTGTTTAGTTAACTTATTGTTGCTAATATCCTCATTTTTTTCTTGTGTTCAGAATGTTACACCTCTGCCTTGAAAAATATATGCATGGGGGTCGATTTTAGTGACTAGGGTGAAGTGAGCAAATAAAATTCTAATTGTCGTAATAGATATGTTATCTCTTATCTGAGTTCTTGAGATGCTTTGCAGCATTAGTGGAATGAAACTGTGACACCCAAGGCTCTATCATAGAAGTTTCATTTGATCTCTAATAAGCCCTAATAATATTTGGTTAATGTTCATTTTATTTGGGAACTGGACAGTTTCAGTCATAGCCACACAATTTTAAAACAGGTATACTAATGTCTACATTTGTCACATAGGGTTTTAAACTCTGAGGACTCCTTAAAATTGATGACTAATTAATCAGTGAATATATATATATATATATTCGCTATGATGTAGATGAAACAATCCATTTATGTAGTATCCTCTCTATAATATTCTCAGAAAAAAGGAAAATATTTTATTTCAGTGTCCTTAATATGTAATCAAAGAGTTAGATTATAAGTAAATGTAGCATTGTCCAAAGACTACTTCATCAGGATGATGGCAATTATGAAAGAAAATATAACCATTTGTTATATTTCAATTGTAATGATATTGCATATTTTTCAGATATAAAATTATATCTTCTTTCCATTGGGTACAACTATTCTTAAAGGTGTTTAATATATTTATGCAAGAAAATTAGTAGTGACTTGGAAAATTTTATGTAGCATAGCTTTCTTAAGACAGTTTTTAAAGTGATTCATCAACAGAGTAGCAAAAAGTCAATTTGCTTACATAAATTGGCACATTTAATAATGGTTTTTACAATATAAATGTTTATGTGAAGTTATAACTCACTTACAGAACCTTGTAGTTTTGTCTAACGGTCTGGTGAAATGTACACATGTGGGTGCCCTATAAGGGAATTCCAGCCCTGTGAATTTATGAATCTATTGACTTCAGTGTTTAGCTAGCCCGATTTCTGAGGCCATCACTGTAATTGACATGTTATTGGAATTAAAGTTAAATTTTTCCTTATTTATCGGGATAACTTCAATTTGGAGGAGTATAAATCAGTCCATAGTTGGCTGAAAGCCAATTTCTCCTTCACTAACTCCGGCACACACATGAAAAGCACACTCACTTCCAGAGTGCCTCATGGATCTGCAGTGATTAATTCTTCTCATTATTTTGCCGCAAATTCTCATGACCCTCTCTGATGATTCGATCAGCCACTTAGAGTTTATGCATATTCATATCTCTGCGCTCCTGCCGCACTCATTCACGTCTCCTTCACTGACTGGTGTGTTCTTGGTGCAGTAATTGAGCGGCAGTAGATTGATTACTCTGGGGAGCTGTAAGGCCTTTAAAGGTGAAAACATATCAGTCCTGTTAATTAGGAAACAAAAGCTCTGGTGGCAAGTTCAGCAGTCAGATGTTTCCAGTACAGAAAAGAGGAAAGGTATGATTTGTCCCTTTCCATGAACCTGTTTACTTTTCAAATTTGGTCTGTATCTGTGATAGTAAAGAATAGATTTCTTTGTGAGTTTTCATAGAATGCTAATTAAAGAGGACCTGACAATATTAATACTATTATCTGTGATCTCTAAAATCTGATAGTTTAGAAACACCCTCTGTAGCATTGTCGAGACATGCATAAAATATTTTAATTTTTACATAAATATGGAATGGATTAATTTTATTATTTAGAGGTTTAATTTGGTTACAGTATTCTAACTTCATTTGTTGTCAATTTAGTAGTATGCTTTATGGGAAAAGGGTGAAACTATTCAACACGGCATAGAAGTTGAGCCTGCCCTTTTTATTTCTTTATCATTAGCATTGTTTGGTTTTTCCCTCTTAAACTGTGTATTAACTTATACATTGTCCTGGCAAAAGGGATCTTGTGTGCAACAGCGGCCTCTATAGTAACCTATTTTCAACATGGAAGTTAATTCAATTCATCTAGTTGACATATTTTTCTCATATGTGCTGGTTCTCACATTATGGTATCCCCCACGACCCCATCATAAATTTTTCTTTTGAGATAAGATTCACACACCATAAAATTTGCCCTTTTAAATAAAGGGTACAATTCAGTGGGTTTCAGTATATTCAAAAAGTTGTACAGCCATTATCACTATCTAACTCCAGAACATTTTCATCTCCCCAAATAGAAACCCCATACTCATTAGCAGTAGCTTTCCATTCCACCCCGCCGCCCCACCCGCCCCTTCTCTTGACCCCTAACAACCAATAATCTACTTTTTCTCTCTATGGATTAACCTTTTCTAACATTTCATATAAATGGAATCATACCATGTGTGGTCTTTTATATGTCTGGTGGCTTTTATTTGGCATGATATTTTCAGGGCTCATCCATATTGTAGCGTTAATCAGTACTTCATCTTTCTATGGCTGAATAACATTCTGTTACATGGTTAGTCCACATTTTGGTTTTCATTCATCAGTTGACAAACATTTGTGTTGTTTCTGCTTTTTGGTTGGTGCTGCTAATAATGCTAATAACATTCACATCCAACCTCACCCAGTCCTTGGTCTAAGGAGGAAAGCCTTCATTCAGTCTTCCCCACAGTTGCGATGTTAGCTGTGGGTTTTTCTGAGATGCTGTTTTGACAAACAGGTTTAGGAAGTTCCCTTCTGGTCCTACTTTGTGGAGTGTTTTTATCATGAAAAGTTGTTGGATTTTTGTCAAAATGTTTTTTCTGCTTTTATTGAAAAGATCGTGTGGTTTTTGTTCTTTATTCTGTTGATATGTATTACATTGAATATTATGATATTTTTTAGAGCTTTTGTATAATGTTCTTTTACTTCGATGGTTTTAAATTGAACCAATTTCTCTACCTTATATTTCAGGCATTTATTAATACAGCAAAAGAAATTTATGAAAAAATCCAAGAAGGAGTCTTTGACATTAATAATGAGGTATATACATATAAATATTATTGGCTAATATTTAGAATTTTAATTACTACTTGGAGTCATAATTTTATATATTTTTTAAATTACTAAAATGGGTCTGTGGTGTTAGTTAACACATTCATTTATAATCATTTAACTGAAAATTCGTTATATGTCGTACAATAGTTAAGTGTGTAGGAGTAGAGCATCAGTTTATCTGTACAAACGGATTAAAGTAAGTGCCCCTATCCATTTATTGCAGCAATGCAAAATAATATAAATCCTCCAAAGAGAAGAAAATCCACTTTCAGCCACGCGTCCATATGGTGTCATCTGCTTTGGGGAATAATTCTCTAGTGTGTAAATGCATGTACCATGTTACTAATGCAAGATGCTCTTCCTGTTGTCTGGTATGAAAGTGGGAAAGACCCAATTTGGAAATTACCCCCAGTATAGCATACATAGCATGTTTTCAGGAAACTAAATTAATATGCAATTGGTAGCTGGCACTGGTTTGTTTTCTTGGAGGTTTTTGGGGTTTTATTTTTTTTGTTTTATAAATTTTTTTTTTATTATTATTTTGAGCCAGAGTGGGTCAACATGATTAGGATAAAACATAAGTTTTGAAGCATATAATTCAGTGTTTACCAAAGGTCACCATTTTGACCTGAATCCCTGCTATGCATTTATTTTCATTTCAGAATGTTTATGTGGATATAGCATATTATTTACTGTTACATAAATATTTTCGCCATTCTACATTAAGACTTTTTGCTTTCAAGAGAAAAACTCTTCCTCCTCCCCGGCTGCCATCAGGAAGGCATTCTCTTAGGAAGCCAGTGTGTGTGTGTCTCTTGGCCTATATATAAATGGGGCTCTTTATTATTCGCTTCAATATTCTTTGCTGAACAAAACAGTTTGCCTGAGTTTTCCAAAAAGTACTTGATCTTCTCATTTGTTTTAATTTGGGAAGTTATGGTTTCTGAATCCTATCTTCTAAGCTTATATGGCAGTAAATCTTGAGTTAGTTTAAAGGCGACACCATTCAGAGACTAATGCCATATAAATTGAACAATAATTGGGCCTCTATTTAAAAGGGCCCGTTCATTGTCCCTGTCTGGTTTCATATAGTAGCTGACTGCTTTACTGTGCTTGGTGCGGCTTTGATTGTAATGTGCTGTCAGGAGCCAACAGGCCGTGCGATTTATTTGGCCTAATGCCAGGTCTGACTCCTTGATTCCTCAAGAAGTTGCTACCAGCCCAGAGGGGGCAAAACCAATGAGCCATAGGGCATGCTTTTTATTAAAGAGGACTCAAAAGAGCGAAAAGAAACCACATCAGCTGCTGTCAATACTGAGCTAGTGCCAGAAACCCCAAGGCTACTACTGTTGCAGAACAACTGCCAAGCACTATAAATCTGAGATTTACTGTGACGTAAAGTTTCCTTAAGAGCTTAATTTCTGAAGCTACTGTATTACTTTTCTCAAAGTGTTGTATTTTTAGGTAAAATCCACTTGAGGGAGTGAGGGTTAAGACAGAAGTGTGAGTTTGATGAATGAAAGCACTACTCTGTGTGTGGGTTCTTGGCAAGCTGCCATGTCTTTGGGGATCATAGAAATTATTGATGACACAGAACACTCATATGCCCTTAGCCTGTACAGCTGATTCAACATGGAAGAGAAATGCTGTCTAGAGAAAAGATTTTATGTTGCGTTAGAGCAGCATAGGCCTTACATATTTTTATCCTTTAAAGATGACTTGCAAGAAGTGTTTTAAACATTTTCTCCATTGTGAGAATTCCCTAAAAAGCAGCACCGTCCAGTTTCTTTACCCAGTACCTGGTATGATAAAGAATTATTTCCAGAAATACTCCCAGTGTATTGTTTCTAAAAGGAAGAGATGCCCCTAAGAGAGATCGTTTTAATTGTGCAAAAATCTGCTTAATATATATATATTTTCTGAGTCGTTTGGTAACATTGTGTCATTAAGAATGAAATGGATTTTTATTGGATCCAGCGACATTTATTATCCTTTTCTCCTTTATTTCAGGCAAATGGCATTAAAATTGGCCCTCAGCATGCTGCTACTAATGCCACACATGCAGGCAATCAGGGAGGACAGCAGGCCGGAGGAGGCTGCTGTTGAGTCCGTTTTTACTGTCTCGCTGCCCAAATGGGGCCTACTCACTATTTCTTTCACCCTCTCCTCCTGCTCAGCTGAGACATGAAACTGTTCGAAATGGCTTTATGTCACAGAAGACTTTAATCTTTCAAATTCTTGTATAACTTTGAATAAATGGTTAATGTTCACTTAAAAAGACAGATTTTGGAGATTGTATTCATATCTATTTGCATTTGATTTCTAGGTCAATCGATGTGATTATTTTTGTTAACTGTTGTCTTGTGCCCTTACCTACGAACTGAATTGTATTAAACACTACAAAGTCATCTTGAGTATTTTAAATTGGTTTGTGTAGTTAGGTTTCCCAACACTTGTGGTTACCTAATGTTTAATATTAATAGAACTGTCCTCAAAAAGTTTGTCAATTTTCAAGGCTATAAGTAAGGAAAAACTGAAGGACTCTTTTAATTCTGTATTTGTTTACTTTCTGTATATATAGTTTAATAACCTGCTTGGGTGTAATTTGCCAAGCTTGAATTCATTAATGCATTTGCATAAATTCTATACCGTTTAGAGCTTAAAGCTACCGAAGCATTGTTAGGAATTGCTTGGACACTGAATTTTAAACTTTTTGACATTGTTAGCAAGCATGTTCCATCTTTTCTTGTCTCTAGTCCAAGAAAAATATGCTTAATGTACATTACTAAAAGCTATGTATGTGTTAACCTGTTTTAATGCCAAAAGTTTGCTGTTTGTCCACAATTTCTTTAAGACCTCTTCAGAAAAGGATTTGTTCGCCTTAATGAATACTGTTGGGTAAAAACACAGTATAATGAGTGAAATGGGCAGAAGCAAGAACTCCCTACACCTAAGCGACTCCAAGAAGAATGAATGTCCACATTTAGATGGCACATTATGAGGACTTTAATTTTTCCTTAAACACAATAATGTTTTCTTTTTCTTTTATTCACATGATTTCTAAGTATATTTTTCATGCAGGACAGTTTTTCAACCTTGATGTACAGTGACTGTGTAAAATTTCCTTTCAGTGGTAACCTATAATCTTTGAAATATGGTAAGCATCTTGTCTGTTTTGAAGGAGATATGACAATAAATCTACCAGATGGAAAATCCTGTTAAAAAGTAGAAGAGCTTTAGTAATTTACTCAGTGTGGTAGTTTTATCCTTTTTTCCCCTTATTTTTCTCCCCTGGTCTATAATGAAATTGTTATAGCAGTGCAAAATAAAGTCCTATGTATAAAAGTGTTCTTTTTTTTATTATGACCACATCATTTTTTTAAAACTTTTTTATTTTAGTTCATTCACAGTTTTTACATGTATTTAAGCATATTTTTAAGAGGGTCAGAATGTTTAACACTTAAACTTAGTAAAAATTTTGCTAAAAGGTGATAAAACTTCACAGTATTGAAATGCTTTGTTATTGATGATGTAAGCAATATTTTGCATTTAACCAGCACAAAAGCGCATTTAAACTGTAAGAAAGCTTCATGAGGAAGTGCTACGAATGAGACTACTTTCAATTTACTCAGTGACTTCACCTTTCTACAAGTCTTCCCTGAATATTCAGCAGTACTCTGATAAAGCTTTAACATTACTGTTATGGGAAGACACGTAATGCTGTCTTAGTTTTGTTTTATCTAGCTCCTGGAGGACAGAGGGAAAGGTCAGAGGAGATTGAGTTTGAGTATTTTTATTATAAACTTTTTTCCCCTTAAAGTGGTCATATCAAATTCATTGATCTTACCATTCACTTTCCTTAGTGATGAGTAGAAAAAGTTAAGGCAAGTAAGACTTGTTCTGCTCTATACCAAGAAGAGGATGATTCTTTGGAAATTGTTATTTTTAAACTGCTCTTAACTTTTCCAGAAGTTTAATGTGTTTCTTCTCCATGCTGTGTTGCCTAATTCTTCTGTAAGTCAAGTATAAGAACATCAACTAATGGTAAAAACAACAAACCAGCACATAAATTTTAATACCCTAAGGAAAGATGGAGCTTTCAAACACAGCTCCTATACCACGGCAACCTTAACCTGCCTCTGGCTTAGGCAGCAGGGTGAGTAGTGAGTGGACTTCTCTATAGTTCATTACTACTTTCTCTACAGATCTCATCTACTTACATCAATTGACTAAGCAAATGTACTGTCAGCTTTCTACTCTGCTCATTTTATTATCCCTGTGACAAATAATGTAATATCGGCACCTGTAATTGAATCTTTAATACTGTAATTGAGTCTTTAATCTTTGATCAGTTTTTGTAGCATCATTGGACCTGTTTTAAGAGCTAGAAAATCAGTCACTAAAAAATAAATACAACTTTAAATGTCTCAACATGTAACATTCCGAAGTTGTAATCTTCATAAAGATAGTGTGTTACTGTTTTTCTTCTGAATTTAAGACAACTGAATCAAGAGCAGATTTTTGAAAGAGTAGCATATAATTAGATATGCAATTCAGCAATATATGAGAGCTGAAGTGGATCTTTATAAAAAATTCGTTTTTTTATTTTAAATACCTGTTAACAGGATAGTAGTCCCTATTTAACTTCTGATAGTCAAGAGAGTAGGAATGTAAATGATACCAAAATGTGTAATCATTCAAAAAATGACATGTCTGGCTTCAGGACACATTAGTATTGGTTCACTCATAGGTAGTGAAGCCCCATCTAAGCTCATTAATAAGATTGGCATGATAGGGTTTAACAATATGAGCTTTAAAAAATACAAGGAGATGACCCTGTTTCATAATTAGAATTTGCAATACAAATAGACGAACCAGCATATCTACCTGTGTTTCTTAGAGTTTACATGTGCTTTGGCGTTCGAATGAAAATGGAACCTAGCATCTCGTTTTACATTGGTACATACTCGATGATGGTACTTACTTTGGTTGAAATCATGATGGGAAACTTTAGAGTGCCAGTGTGTATTCAGTATTCATAAGCTTTACAAAATTATGAGGCCAACTCAAAAACTGAAGGACAAGGGACCGAAAATCTGATAGGAAAAAAAGACAATTCGCCAAAAATGGTATAAAAATGTCCCTAAAATGTATTTTTCAAATTCAAACATACTCGAAATGTAAATTAAAACTAAGATACCATTTCTCACCTGAGAGAGTGGAAGAAATTTAATAAAAGTATGACAGCACATTCTGTTGGTGAAACACTCATGTTGCTGGTGGAAGTGCAAACTAGTACTGTCTTTCTGGAGAGGACCTTGGCAATACCTAATTAAACCAAAATATACTTAAAACCTGTTGACTTGGCCATGCCACTTGCAGGGAACACCATGCCGATTCTCTCCAACAATGCAAAAGCACATATGCACAAGCTCGCTCACTGCAGCATTGGCTGCAATTGCAAAATAATTAAAAATGACATAAGTATCTATACATGGGAGCAACCACCTGTTCATAAACTGTGGTTCAGCCACACAGTGGAGTCCTAAACAGCTCTGTGAACTGATGTCATGATTTCCAGGATATATCACGTTGGAAAAGCAAAGTGCGAGCATGTCTCCAGTTTACCGTTCTTCGTGTAATGCAGGCAATATAAGAAAATACACATGTATCTGCTTATTCGTGCAAAAGAAACGGGAAGAGTAAACAAACTAATGAAGTGAGTTACCTACAGAGAGTGGGTTGATACAGAGTGGAAAATAAGGAAGATTGGGAATGGAGTATTTGGGATGAGAGATACCTCTCCCTGTGTACATTTTTGTTCAGTTCTGACTCATAACTATAGTAATGTTTCACATACTCCAGAAATAATTAAAACCAACCACAGTGTGCAGGGAACTCAAAATACTAATGAATGAACCTGCCTATATTACAAATGAGTGACATTACCACACTGGAAGGGGGTAGGAAAGAAAACCAGAAACTTTTAAAAACAGGATTTTGACTATATGTATACTGTAAGGTTAAAGACAATGATCTGTACACAAGTATACTCTAGTAAAAAGGTATGGGTTAGCAATTCTAAAAATACTTTTTGTATATTAAGATTGAGCAAATATGGATAATGGAAGATCCATAATAAAAGCAAAGGTTTCTATTTTTGAGAAGAGTTACAAATAAAAGTTGAACCGAGTGTGGAAGAACTCTGTGGTCTTGGGTAAGAGTAGAGATATTAGGGACTCAGCTTTCATATGTACAGATGTGTAGAGAGAGATGGGTGAGTGTGAATATAGGTACATATATTTCCTAGTTTTGTCTACAGAAAGGACCTGAAAGCAAAGACACCTCAGTAGCAATGAGCACACCTAGTGCTCGGATATTGGTTTCTAAGTACCGTTCTCTTACAAAGGGTTCCTTGGAAAAATGATTGATACCAGGGCTGGGGCAGGAAATTCGGAAATGAGCCTGGAACATCTTGTGGTGCCAAAAAAGTAAGGAAGTGCTCATAAAATGATGAGGGGGCAAGGGAAGAGAGGCATTTATTTGTCAAAGGATACAGGAGCCAACTTGTTGCTTCCAATGGCCAAATCTGGGACAACTTGAAAAACTAACTGGTGCTAGTAATGGATTGTAAACCATGGAAATAAATGTCCATGGTATAGATAAGTGATTGAATCAATAAAAGGGCAGAAAGGGTAGCTTTTCCTTAGAGTAGAATATCAATTAGTAGAGACAAAATGTACGATATAAGCAGAAAATTATCAAGATAGGAATCATTAATGAGTGCTAGACATAGTGGGCAAAACATGACAAGAAATATGTACAGAGTATCACCACAGGATACTGCTACAAAAGGAAAAGTAGTAACAACAGTCAACTAAAGACACCACTTGCATTAAGTGATCAAGATGTGAGGACGGCGTGTACCAACTGATGCCATTGCACTGAGAAGGGCACAGTTCTGTGGGGTTTTGCCAAAAATATATAGCCTCAATCTAATCTTTGGGAAACCTCAAACAAACCCAAATTAAGGAACATCCTACAAAATAAATGGCCAGTACTTTTCAAAAATATCAAGGTCGTGAAAGAG